AATGTAACCCCATTCACAAAAAACAGGCAACTAACAGCAAACGAACTTCTTTCAAAATTCTGTTACACAACCATACAAGTGACTAAACCATCTTATTTTCTCTATTAATTTGTAGGTTCAGTAAGCGAGAGAGTAACAAACCAAAATTCGCGAGAATATGAACCCTCTGACTTCTTGGCTAAGATCCTCTGTATGGGGATCTTCAAGAGTTACACCTGTCATAATTATTAAAACCTTTAAATGCAAATCCCTCAACAAAGAGAGCCCTCATAAGGCACATGCGATTCAACAAAGATTTATGATATGATATACAAAAGAATCTCTTTCTAGCAACATTCACCTAAAACATATTTTCTTTTCCATAAAAAAATTATGTAAGGTTCAAATCACTCAAGCATCCCCACCAGTCGCTACTGTGTTGAATGCTCATGAGCCAATTATTACCCGCAAACATTCAGCCAATAATTTCGTTTGCTTTCCAAGTTCTGTAAATCTGAATAATAATGTTCACCAAACTGTTATTTTTATCAATACTAGCACCAATCCTCGAATAGCAAACATTCACATTGTGAGAGGTTTATGTTACTGGGCTGATGTTATTTATAAGTGTGCACCCACTCCCTTTAAGCTAGCTTTTGGGTATGAGTTCCACCCAAGCCTATTTATCACACATCAATGACATAACTGACTGCCCATCGTCTGTCAGCCATTCAGAGTAGCTACTTATAACCTATACAGAGAACAGAATAAGCTGGTTCGCAAACCTCCCAAGGATGAAATAGTAAGTTAAATTCACCTTTCGATCAGGTTAAAAACTATTCCGAATGAAAGTATTATGTATAAAAAATAGAAAAAAATAATAATAAGAAATCGATTAGCGAGAATGATAATAAGTCTTCCATCTGCAGATTAGCTGTAACTAGAAGCATTCCTTTCTAAAGTGAATGCAGCTGTCAAGGCATAATCTAAGAATTGTTATTTGGACGAAATAAGTTATACAATTGTGCTTTATTGGAGCAAATGACTAATCCAATGGTGTAAAATTTGTTCCAATTCATAAATGCTATTATTTCTTTTAAAAAGGTACACACACACACACACAAAGAGAGAGAGAGGGAGAGAGAGGTAGAATAATAGAGCAGCAGTGATGTTCTCTTACCACAAAACAGTGTCATTTTTTACATGAAATTATCACTGTCACCTGGAGTACACAATTTTGAATTTGAGTCACAACAAGAGAGTGAAAATCTGACCTTTCTTCACTGTGCTGTCATCCATAGCCTTGTACTCCATATTCTTCAGGGCAAGCTCCACACCGTACCCACCCAGGTTTAGAGGTTCTCCTGAACCCATGGCTCCACAGGAAGCACCTTTGGGTTCACATCCAGCGAGCAACACAGATCTGATAACATACTTAACTTTTCCCTGAAAGATTATTACAAACTCATCAGCAAAGAATAAATAAATCTATGAACCAGAAGCTGAATATTAATTCCTATGTTATATTATATTCTCACAAAAGTAGATTGAAGACAAAGTGAAAATGAAGAGACAGAGAGTATCTAAGAGTTTCCCAAGCTTTGGGTGGAACCATTGGAAATCTAAGTCAATGAATAAGCACTGTGGCAAGCTTATTCAGTCTAAGATAGTAAGACATAACTCACTTGAATAAACAAAAGTGGCACAGATATCTCAATTTTTCCAAATATAAATATACATTATGACCACTCTTGTCAAATTGAACTTNAAAAAAAAAAAAAAAAAAAAAAAGAAATTATTGTTTGACATATCAACTCTTCTGAAGCTGATTATCATATCTTCCTAAGGCGACCATTCCATAAAGCTTAACTAAACAAGACTGTTGAGTTTCACATTATGATAAATACAGACAAAAACACAGAACAAAGAACACACATCATAGACCAAAAGGTCCCCAGACCCCAATCGCAAAGATTAATCACTTTCAAGAAGACTCCAAAGCACATGTGTCCAGTTATAGAGATAAGAAACCATTTCTGTAAGGATGAGCGTGATTAGATGAAAAACAACTGCTGCAATGCGATCGCACCTTTTTAGCAGCTTCTGACAAGGCTATGTGAAATTCCTTAAAGCATTCAGTCCCAACAGCTCCATACAGAATGGCAGCAGGGCTTCCAGCAGTTGATTCTGGATGGACATGATCAAATTCGAAAATCTCAGGCTGCTGAAATTCACCATGTGCTCTGGCAACAAAAAACCATAACATATGGTTATGAAACTAGGATATTCAGCTTCTTGCCAGAAAGTTGATGTGAATAATAGAGCAGAACTTACATGTCATTAGGGTTTTGTACCCACGTCAAAAACTCCTTGACTTCAAAAAACAGTGACCCGCCTGTATCGACCCAACAACATCTATTCCCATGACTATTGAGGTTCACACCCGAGAGGAATGTTTCAGAATTTTTTGATTTTGCAGTTTCACTTGGTCTTGAAACCCCTCCATCAATGGTGTTCGAGATAACATCATCAACTAAAGGAAAAGACGAAAGAGATTCCTCTGCTAACTGACGATACAAAACTAGCCTAGGCGATGCTGATCTAAGCGTGAGGGAGAACTCAAAAATTGATGCCAAGGGTTCATTTAATAAGGATTTCCCGAAGTTGGCAATTTTCTTCAAGCAATCTTTTGCGGTGCTAGAATCAGAATGTACATCCGTGGAGTGAATCCATGATTCAACAAAATCCCAGTACAAGTCTTTCGATTCCTTAGCTAACAGCTCTCTGTCAAATACATCAATGAGTTGTTAAAGAAATCCAAAGATGGCAGCTTATGAAGGTAAATGCAATAAACTAAAAACATTGTCGTCAGACACCAAGTACACTACTTGTCATTTGTCAAAAGCAACAGCAGGCATGTATAAGACAAGTCAGACAAAACTAGTCTTAAAATGGTATGGTCACTTTAACACCACCGCTGACCCGTGTACTGATACTCTCCTTTCCACAATATCATCCATCCCTACACAGAAAAGCAACTAGAACCTATAATATATCTGATGGTTCACTAGGCAAGCAAGCTTCTAGATTAACTTCATCATTATACTCAGTGCTATGATAACACATTGGAAACTGAAATGGCAACTTCCATTAATAAATAAATACATCAGGCTAACAAACTAGGAACTCTATAGATTGAATCCAATATCTTTAACTATGTACAGAATAATGAATACTATGCAACAAGTTAGAGTAGATTATATGTGTGTGCGTGTGTATCTACATAAGAAATATATTTTACAAAGTTGGGCCTTTTTCTTGGAACACTGATGGTTAGAAGAGGCCAAGAACTATTTGTTCAACATACTGGAGACCTTTGTGTTTTTCATATTGTAATAAAGTTTTGATCCTACTCGTTCGTGGCGTAGAGAACTACTTGGTTAAAAAGATAAGCTTTTGTGAATAATCATGAACAAGTTGTCTCGTGGACATGATAAACAGGCAACACAACTATGAAAATAATATACAAAGAAATAAAAATAGAGAATTTAACTAGCTAACAATTTGCTGAGCATAAGAGAAACACAGTAGCTCACCAGCAAGACCCTCATAAAACTAAAAACCAAAACTTTCCACGTGGAGCAATTATCATTCGAGCACAACATGTTGGATAGATGCAGCTAACAGAAATAATCATCAAGACACAACCAAACAACTGACCGGACTTCACGAAACACATCGAAAACCAAAATGTGCGAGAAACAGCAGATTTCACAAAGCTAAAACAATTCAAATGTCGAAATGCGCATCATATCCTTTACGCTAAACACATCCAAATACAGGGAATACCCGGCTTCCAGAAGAAGTGGAGTGCCTGGCCACTTGGCCCTAAGCGCCACCTGCACATTCTTGGGCCCGCGGTTTACCGCATAAATTGAGCAAGAACCAAAAAGTACGAGCAACAAGAAGCATAAACCAGATCGGAATAGAAGCCCCATTCTTAATCCTGATCGATTTTCGCCTCAAAAGTCCCGGTATCGATTGCGATCAAATCGTGGCCATTAAACGAGGATCAACCAGGGATCGAACTCAAGAGGGATCCCTCCTCGTTTCTCGCTCCGTGTGTTCTTGCACGATGATATAACTCTGTGTTTTGCGCTCGCAAGCTGAGAGAGACGACGAACTGGGTATGTTCAAGTCTTTAGATGCTGAAAGTGTCAAGTCGTTTGAGAGAATGGCGTAAGTGGTGAGTGGTAAAACTGTGGTAGGGTTCACCGTTTACCTGTACGCCGGAGCTAAGGGGTGAGTTTGGTACTTACATGTTGCAATGCGATTTTGGTCTTTTTGACTTTTAAAATTGGGTAAATGATAATTAAATTGGTCCAAGCCTTGACGTGGTGAACTGGTGATGCTCGTTGACCTGCGTCACTAGCACTGACGTGGCGTCTTCCTATTGGAAATTTTTAATGTGTGCAACTACCATACTCCAACCTTCGGTATGATTTTTAGGGTAATTTATTTAAAAAAAAATTGAAAAATAAGTGGACAAAAACAAAAAAAAAAAGGGGTAGACCGAAATTAAAAGCACGTATTCACAAAATACGATTTCTTAATTTAATTTTTTAGTGAAAAACGTATTCTTTGAATACGTGATTTAATTGAATTTATTTAATTATTTGAAAAAATATATTGCCGAAAAAATTGTAAATCCAATTTTAATTTTAAACCGTATTTACAAAATACGTTTTATGAAAATCCCAATTTTAATTTGAAAATCCCAAATTAATTTGAAATCAATTTAGGTTTTATAAAACGTATTTCATTAATACCGTTTTTTATATTAATTAATTTTTTAAAAAAAATTAAATTAAAATAAAACGTATAAAGGAAATACGTTTTTTAATATAATAAAAAATTGAAAACGTATTTACAATATACGGTTTTTAATAAAATATAAGTACAAAAAAATTTTCTCCTCCACCACTCTGCGCGATCAACTGAAACTGCGAGAGCAAAAAAAAATCACTTCCTTCCATTTTCTCTTCACCTCAAAATAAAAAAAATAAAAAATAAAAACTTTTAACAATCAATCGATTCGGAGAAGAGGTTAGTTGTTATTTTAATGTAATGTAATTACATATTTTTTTTGTTTATGAATTTGTAAGAAATATTTGTTGGTTTTGATGAGTATAGTTTAGAAAAGATTTATTGTTGATTTAATAGTTGTGTTAAATGATTATACATTGTTCTTGGATGATGGGTTTCGGTGTATGTTGAGAATTTTTGCGAAAATTGGATGATTTGTATTGTATTGTTGGATTATGAGAATTAGGGTTTTGGAGAGTTATTTTATAAAAGAATTGGCGATTTTTTTTTTTCTGTTATTATAGTATTAATTGGAAATATTCATCTTGAATTGAGTAAAAGAATAATTGAATTTTTTGGGAAATTATGTGATGTTGTAATTGGGAAGAATTGAAAGTGTTTATATGTTATTGATGAATTTTATTTTTTTGTTGTGGTAATGATAAAAGAATAATTGAATTTTTTGGGTGTTGGGTAAAAAATTATGTGTTGTTGTAATTGAGAAGAATTTTTTTTTGCAACAGGTATAAATGGCGTCTACCGGATCATACTTTGTTAATGTGTATTGGAATTTTCCCAAGGAGTTGTTATATGATTTTTCAGATTTTAAAAACTCTCCGGATGGTTCATTTTGCATTGGGGAGAAGATATCATTTAAACAATTGGTAGATATTCTTTATGAAAATTTTGGGTTTCATCGAGATGGTTGGATAATTGAGGAGATTAGTTTACTGACTAACCAACACGATGGTTCGTGGAATATTGAAAACCTGAATACTGATAGTGCTCTTGAGTGGATATATTATTTCACTCCTTTCTCCTATGTGTATTTGCATTTAGAGTTGAAGCAGATTACGCAGGCACCTACAGAGGTTACGCAGTTTGAGGATGTTGCCCCTTTTTACGGGGGAGTGGCTGATGTTGAGGGTACGTCCACTTTGCATGTTCGTAATTTTGGCGAAGGGACAAGCTCAACAGTTAGAGAATGCAATAATGAGGGTGATGATGATTTCGTTCGCGGTGAAGACGATTCCACAGATGATACCTCGGAAACGGAATCAGATAGATTAATAAACGAGGAGAGTGAACCAGAATTTATTGAAGAACACCCATTTCCTAGTACCGGTCAGCACGTGTATCGCGAGATGGGTGAGTGGGACCCGTCGTGTGTAGACCGTGATGAGTATGCCTTGCCAGTGTGGGATGGGCATGTCGAGATCCGTTTGGGTACTGTTTTCCGGTCCAAGGAAGAAGCACAGCTGGGTATCATGAGTTGGAACGTTAGTAGGTTGAGGGAGGTTAAGACAACCTATTCGAATAAGAAATCATTCAAGGTGGTGTGCACATCCAACGAAGATGAACCTTGTCCGTGGAGGGCTCGGGTGACGCACTGCACACGGGTTCATGAACTGTGGGAAGTAAGAGAATGGACTGAGAGGCACAGTTGTATGCAAGAAGTCGAAAAAAATGACCACAGAAATGTAACCTCCACAATGATCTCAAATCTTGTCATGACCAAGATTCAATAGAAACCCGACTACAGTATTACCCTGATCCAGGAGGATGTTAAAAAATGTTGGAAAGTCGATGTGAGCTACAAGAAGGCATGGCACGGGAGGAAAAAGGTCATCGATCGTTTGTATGGCACTTGAGAATCGAACTTCGCACAACTCCCGCAGTAAGAAAAAATTATTAAAAATGTACATGTTATTTGTCACTATGTTTATGTATTGACGATTACGTTTTGTAATGTGCAGGTTTTTTGCGGCGCTTCAAAGAGCGAATCCCACTACGGTTGTAGAGTGAGAATGGCAAGGTGGGGAAATGGCGGCCCACTATCAGCACAGAGAATTCAAATTTATTTTCTGGGCGTTTGGTCCCACCATTCAGACCTTCCAGAGATGCCCGCCGGTCATTAGCATGGACGGCACACATTTGCGTGGCTCGTACAAGGGGAAGTTGCTTGTGGTCGTTGCACAGACTGCGAATAAGAGGCTATTGTCAATCGCCTATGCGATTGTGGATGAAGAGAGCCAGGAAAGCTGGTCATTTTTCCTGACAAATCTCCGGCAACATGTTGTCGGCGACAGACATATATGCTTTCTTTCGGACAGGGATGCGGGCTTATAGAGTGCCATGGAATCATTGCAAGCTTGGCAAGAACCCGCTGCATATCACCGGATTTGTCTTCGACACCTTTGGAGCAACGTGGTTACTAGGTTCAGGAATAACAAAATCCGAAATTGGTGTTGGGAGTTGGGTTCACAGGTTTCAGAGAAAAAATTTGAACAGATACGATCACGGCTTTCGGATTTTAATCCGGACACATACGATTACCTGTTCAGAATTCCTCTGGACAAGTGGACCCTGTTTGGAGACAGAGGACATAGATGGGGTACTTTGACAACCAACATGTCCGAGAGTTACAACAACGTCCTGAAATGTGTTAGGTTCTTGCCTTGCCGAGCTTTGGTACACGCCACATTCATGAAAACTCTGGACTTGTTTGAGCAGGAACAAAAGAAGTCCACGAGATGCAGTATTGCCATTGCTAGTGCCCACTATGCCGCTTATTGCGAATTGGAGACTACGGCCGCAACTCATGAGGTGCGATGTTCGAACGCGGAGAGATCCCTGTACAAGGTGACAACCGGTCTACGGGTTGATGGTAGAGGGGACAAAAGATATATGGTTTATTTATTTATTGTATAATTTTTATTTTGTTATTTTGGTTCATTAAAATTTTTAGTTGTTTATAAATATAATTAAATGTAGAAAAACAGGTATAAGGTTTCGTACAACCGGATGCATTGTAGTTGTCTGAAGTGGCAGACACACAGGAAGCCATGCTCTCATGCTATAGCTGTGTGTCGTCAAATAAAAGGTCAACCAAAGTTCTTGTACGATCCCCACTTTTGGACGGAGAACTGAGTGGCTCAATTTTCTGATTGGAGTTTTGCTTCGATTGGTGATCCAGACACATGGCCGCTGGTCGGATGGAACTTATAGTACATAGTATATAATATATAATATATAGTATATAATATAGGTTATAGTTTATATCTTATATCTTATAGTTTATATCTTATATCTTATAGTTTATATCTTATAGTTTATAGTTTATATCTTATATGTTTATAGTTTATATCTTATATGTTATAGTTTATAGTTTATAGTTTATATCTTATATGTTATAGTTTATATCTTATATCTTATAGTTTATAGTTTATATAGTATATAGTATAGTAATGTTAAAGTATAAATTATAATATATATGTATATACTATAATACATATATTCATATTTATATAAATTATATAATATACTATATATTAAAAATCTTGACATTGAAGGATAAGAATAAATTTGCGTAAATATAAACGCGATAGCCTAGCGGCCTAATGGTAAGGAGGTGCGCCCAGAGATAACGGACTCTCCCACCCGGGTTCGAGTCCGGAATTTGGGATCCTCCTACCATTTTTTACAAATAAACGCCCTTTTTTTGTTATATCTTACATAAACCGTATTCATGAAATACAGTTTTCAATTAAATATTACATAAACCGTATTCATGAAATTGTGAACTATTGTGTGTACTATTGTGTGAACTAGTGTGTGAAGTATTGTGTGAAGTTCGATTTTCCGGAATTAGGACTACAAATTGAGTTGAGAACGAAATTGAGATTTAATTGAGTTGAATTAAATCCTTTGTCAACGAGCCACGGTTGGTTTGGGAGGTCATCGACCGGACTGGTTTTGGACCCTTGTTTCGAATGGGTCGAGTCCAAGCCGACAACAGCCTCATTACTGCTCTCGTGGAGAGGTGGCGCCCAGAGACGAATACCTTCCATTTCGATTTCGGCGAGGCCACCATCACGCTCCAGGACGTACAAGTCTTGTTCGGTCTGCCAAC